GACCCGAAGGATGAATAGGTACACCTGGATGGGGAGAAGGGAGACCGACCTGTTCAGTTCCCCCTTGAGGAGACCAAGCCAAAGGGGCTTGATAGGAAGGTACTGGCGGAATCTCAAATGGCGAAGTGCCCAGAGAGGCAGGGGGAACCACGTCAGCCTCACTGGACCTGAGTCTTTGTGCTCTGGAGAATTCTTTCTCTAATGCCAGATGTCTCCTCGAGGCCTCTCGCTCAGCAGCCTTGGAGGGTTCTGTAGACAGATGTTTGGTTTTTGCTTTCTTCTTTCCCCCCGCGCCTACCTCAGATGATCTGCGCTTTGATTGAGCGGGGGGGGGGCACTTGAACCCTGCAAAGTCTGAGGAGAAACACTATCTGCCATTGTGAGCTGGGTCTTCCAAATAGGAGAAGCCCTGCAGTGGGGGTAAACACGCAGATCAAGTTGTCCGGGAGGGAAACTTTCCCGCGCCCTAAGACAACCACAATGGCAAATAGCCAGACAGTTTAGTAAAACTGCCTGTCCAGGCCCTGCAGGCACAGCGCCGCGAGCTAATGTGAACAGGTGGAATAAATTCCCCCAATGAGTGTGTTAGAGATAAGGAGACAAGAAGGAAAATCTTCTTACTAACAGCAATCTTAGAACTGTCCAAGAAAATCGTAGAATACCCCCTAGAAAGCCCAACACAGCAGGCTGTAAATTGAGTTTGCAGGCCTAATCTCCCTCGGTGTGGAGTCCCCAACAAAATGGCGGCCACACCTAGTTCGAAACAAAATGGCGGCCACAAGCCTCGTGGTTGTCAAAATGGCGACTCCAGAGTCAAAGGGAACAATTTATGAGGCCCTGCAAGATGGCCAAGGGCTTCCAAGGCCTCTGCCACCCGGTCTTCACTCCCTTTGTGAATAAGGCAAATAAAACCAAACTTGCGATTAAGGCCAGTTAACAGGCCTCCGCTCTCCACCGGAGCCTCGTGGCCACGAGGAGAAGATTTCACTCGCCCAGCCGTCCGGCACGACGAACTCCTCGTCCCTGGGGAAATCCCCTCTCCTTGCCCAATCACCTGTGGCAAGAGCCGGCTCGCAAGCAGTGAGGGAAATCCCCTCACCGCGCCAAGCTCCGAGCCGAGGAAAAGAGCCTCCGAGCGCTCAGGGAAATCCCCTCACAGCGCTGAAAAGCCGATCGAGACAAAAGAACCGTTTGCCTCTCAGCGTGAGGCAGCCGATGCTAGGAAAAAAAAAAAAAAAGGGGCCTCCCAAACGCTCAGGGAAATCCCCTTCGCAGCGTTTGAAAACAAAGAGGAACGGAGGCAAACGGCACTTCTGAGGCTCTCAGGGAAGCCTCCCTGCAGGGAATCCCCTGAGGGCTGAAGTACAGCCAACCAAAAAAAAAACAAAAACAAAACAACCTTAAACCTTCTAATAGATAATTAAATATTAAAAGGAAAAAAATTAATAAATCAATGAAATTTGCTATTTCACTATCACCTAAAGCTAACTACAATTAAATTATTGAGGAGCTATGCTAAGTTGTGTCCTTACTGAGCCAAGACTAAGAACAAACTGGGAGAGGACAGCCCAAGGAGGCGTGGCCAAAGTTTGATCTTAGTATAATCTGAGCAAGGAGGCATTGATAACCCGCCGGTGGAGGCTACATCTCACATGCTGTAGAACCTTACTTTTTTCACCATTGAATTTCATTTTGTTAGATAGCGCCCAGTGTTCAAGTCTGTCCAGATCCTCCTGTATCCTAAGCCTGTCTTCTGAACTAGAAAATTTCAATGACTGAGATAGCTAGGAATATTGGGTCCAAATGTATCTGTTCTTAATAAGGCTAGAAGCTTTGGTAAAATATGACATAAATGATAAAGAGATAGACAAATGGTAGAAAAAGGCTTCTATTCCTGCAAGTGTTTTTTCCAATTTCTCTGCATATGTACAATCATTAGTCCTGGGTGGAGTTTTCATGCTTTTTCAGGACTGGGGACGTATTTGGAGAAAACTGTCTTAAGCAGATGTGCCTCATAAGCTTTGTTTACTCTTTGTTAATGCATTTAAAATCTACATGGATTTCCCTATGGTGTTATTAAAATAACATTTTCCCATCCTCCCTCCAAAATAAACAAATCTGAATCCTTTTCACAGTTGGAGGGAAAATAGCCTTTTAATCTAGCAAAATTATTCAAGATTCTATATAGCTTTTAAGAGGTCCAAATAAATATATCCCTTAACTGCCCTTATGAACATTTGGCTGTGTAAAAAGGATTGTCAAAATGAAGAAATGACAGGCTAAATAGTAAAACTTCAGTATGAATTGTAAAATAGCTGTGTGAGAGAATTTTGTAAAGAAAAAAAATCACATTTCTAGGACCTTGGCAGCAGTAAAGACCGGAAGAGAGAGAAGATCAGTTTTGTGTGTCAGATTGTACGAGTTGGCAGAATGGAACAAAGAGAGAACAACACAAGGAAACTAACTTCTGGGCTACGGCGACCTTTTGGTGTAGCAGGTAATCCATTCTTATATACAGTACATTGTCAAAATGTTTTGCAAATAATAGCAGCTGCTGGGGATTGAGGTGATTCGACCTACTATAGTTTTGAAAGTAATGTTCAATCTTTTTGTAACATATTTTTTGCATACAGGAAGTCCTCAACTTATGATAGCAATTGGGACTGACATTTCCATCACTAAGTGTCGCGGTTCTAAAGTACAACCGCATTGCTTAGTGATGGCAGTCCCTGCACTTTCAGTTGCCATTATTAACTGGATCACACAGTTGTTAGACAAGGAAGTTTCCTATTAGCTTCTCACAACCAAAGTCAGTGGAAAAGTTGGCTAGAAGTTGCAAATTCCTGACCTGCAGATAGTAAAAGATTGCAGGACGGGGGAGGAAGGGAGAATGTTGTGAGAACTTCTGCATGGATTGAAGAGGGGATGCGAGGGAGTGTCCAAGAGGTGCTACATGGGTCAGGAAGGTGCATAAGGGTGCGAGGGTATGCGTGAGAGCTGCTGCACAGTGGGTGCACAGGGATCCAAGGAGGTACACAAGTGGCCAGCGCAATGTGAGCACAGTATGACTTGCTATCCAACAGGAACCTACAGTAAATGGCAATGGGGAGACCAGTTAGCTGAATTCATTGGGCCGAGTAGCTTCTTCCCTTCCTCCCATAAGGAAAACTTTGAGGTAGACTTTTAGGGAACCAAACTGTGGCCTTTGCTGTTGGACAGAAGACTGTGGCTAAATCCCTTGTTTCCAAAGTAGAGTGTCATGGTAATGGGGTTCACTCTGACTCAGCCCTTTGTTCTTTTGTTTAGGATAATAGAAAAGATGTAAGGACATTTCAAGAGCCCTTGGATAAGGCACCTGCCTATCTTATGAAACGCAACCGTGGTTTTCTTTTCCTGGCTTTCGCTGATTTCTATCAATTTTAATGCTTTAAGTTTTAAAAAATATTTATATAGTTATAGATATGGATGTAGATGTTGATATAGATGTATTCATTGGTTAATGCCCTTAAATACCCAATTATTACTTCTGAAAGATTCCACCTTGTTTTACTGATATGAGCGAAGCAAGTTTGTCTTTGAACAGAGTAACATTTCTTTCTATAAAATAATTCCAAGCGGTCTGTTATCATCACTGTTTGCCACGCTTTTCCATTATAACTTAATCCTTAAGGATGCTTGTTTCTCTTTGAATTCAGTGATGGATATAACTGACATAATTAATGGGAAAGTAGATGATGAAGACAAGCAGCACTTCATTCCATTTCAACCGTAAGTGCAAATCAATACAGAAAAGTAATCAGGACTGATAGCCGGAATAGATGGGTTATGATTGTTTGTTAAAAATAAACTCTCAAGGTTTTGAAAATGGGAAGAATAAAAAGCTAAAGGGACAGGACAGTTTTGGAAGAAAAAATGCTTTACTTCAGAACTAACCTATGTGATTAAGCAATCTCTTCCCAAAGAATTAAATAGCCAGCTCTGATTTTTTTTTTTTGTAAAGTTAAGATAATTTCAGTGTTCCTATAAGTACTGTAGTTCTGTATTGTGAAATAAGTTTGTGAATACATTTTCTATTTGGCTTTGCAGTTAAAAATCTTGAATTGTTAGTACCATTCTTGGATAAGAATCAGAGATGCAGATACTGGAATATTAATAGTTTCAAATATGTACAGTTCATTTTAGAACTGTTTTGTTTTGTTTCAATAAAATGAGATCTGTGCATAAAATATTTGGACTAAGATGAAAGCTTGAATACGAGATTTAAAATACACTATTTTAAATTTAAAGAAAAAAAAACATGATCCATGAATGTGAATTGTTTAGATCTTGTAGCAAAGTTAGAGAACAGTGATCCTCAGGGTATGATGAAATTTATTTATCAAATCTATTTATCAATTTTTTAAAACTGGAATAAAGTCTATGCTCTATGACTAGTGGCTAATGATAGTGATTGAGTAGAAGAGCATCATTTGTTCCATAAGCTTAATGTGGAATGTGTTTGCATTTTTTGTTTTATATATATGCAAACATAAATTTATATAAAAATTATATAATAAACATAAACACATGAACATTACTTGGGTGCATCTATAATAGCATGTGTTGCTTAAATAAAAAGAAAAAAAATAGTATAAATCAGTATAAATCATGGCAAATTTAAAACTTATCAATTTCAATTCCCAGAATTCCCCAGCCAGCTCTGGGAATTGAAGTCCACAAGTCTTAAATTTGTCAAAGTTGGACACTCCTGGTATAAAATGAAAACCTCAATGAGAGAATAAAATTGGGCTTAAGATAAATGAAACAAAACTCTATTTGCTTAATTAATAGCTTCTTGGTGATGTATTCTCAAAGGATACCTATAGTATTATTTTGTGTTATATTATGAATTGTCTGTTTATATATTTTTTAAAAGCATACAGGTTAAAAATGAAATAAGGTACTTCATGGATCTGGGAAATTTTTGAAATAAAGTATTTTCCATTCATGTTTTATAGCTTTCTTTTTATATTACACTCAATTAAATTATTCTTTAGAAAAAGCTTTTATCAAGAATGAGTTACAGTATATACAATTTATGAAGACTTTCCTGTTACTTATTTATTTTGTATTGCATCTTTCTTGTGTTACTTGGTATTTTTCTTTCCATGTGTTGGATTTTGGATGCCAGTGAAATAATATAACAGCTGTCAGTAAGCATGGGGCCAGATTGCTGTGGGGTGGTAGATGACATTTTTATAAATACTAGATTTCATTTGTTAACTTCAGTATTTTCATCCTTTCCGTCATGTAGCAAAATTGTTTCATGGATTTTCTTGATTGTTTCCAACCCCACTAAGCTACTTTTATTGGTAGTAGCTTTCTGCTTTTTGTTATTTGTCATTAGAATTGTAGTCAATTCATTTCATCCCTGAAAGTGGGCTTTACTGGTCCATGGGGTGGTGTCTTTTACATTTTGGTGTTGTTATTTTATATGTAACTTTTTTCAGGCTCTCCATCTCTATTCTACATACTTCTATGATAAATCTGGATTGTGTTTTTTTCTGAAATCATAAATTCATTTCTCCTTATCAGTTTCCTGATTGATTATCTTTCTGTGTCTTCCTTTTTTCCCCTTTGTCTTGTGCTGACTAACAAATACTCTTTGTCACCTCTGTGATACTCTCTGTTATGTCTTTGTTCTATTGCTTCTGGTTTTCTGCCCCTTCCATCTTTGTTACCTTTTGGTGTTGGTCGTCATGTGCATTCTCCAGGCTAGCATTGGATAACACCATTCGACACAAGCAGTTGAACATATCATCCCGTTTTTCACCCAGGGTGGCAGGGGAGAATGATTTCCTTCAGACTGTAATAAACAAAGTGATTGCTGCTAAAGAAGTTAATCATAAGGGTCAAGGTAGGTATTTTCCTTCCTTTAAATTGTTAGCATTAGCAATGATTAGGAAAGTAATCAATTTTGTACTAAAACTATTGAGTGGTTCTTAACATGGAAAAGTTTTCTTGTTTCTGATTTGCTATTCTTTTGCTTCATGAAGAATGACAATCGTTCTGAAGCCATGTTTTAAAACAAGCATTTATCATTTTTGCATCTTTCACTGACATGTAAATAATTCATCATCTTATTAATGTACTTTTCAATTTTTTTACTGTAAAAAAAATCTTAATTTGAGATCATGGTTAGTTGACCTTATCAAAAATAATAAATCTATCTGAGCTTTACGTACATATATTTAAGATACTATATGCTTTTTGTTATTCAGTTTATTATTTAGTGCTGCCTTAATAAAAAATTGGACATGGATGTAGAAACCCTTTTCAAGATATTTTAGAAAGAGCTGCTTGCTTCTTGTAAAAGTTATTTAAAAGTTTATTAAAAGGATTCTTTTTGTTTTTGTCTTAAAGATTGTTTTTAAGAAAAAAAAGGATTATGTTATTTTTTCTGTGTATCACTGCCGCAACTTATTAACTTGTAAAATAAACTAAATATGGATTTTTTTTAAAAAGTAGTGAAATAATTTTATAAGGTCATATTGTCCACAGTTATCAGAATAAAGCCAAATAATTGTGGTTAGTGGATGAACACACAGAAACTCATTTATTCGCCATTATTCTGCAAACGGGTATAGTGTCATAACAGTTTTAAAAAGTCACCGTATTTATAGAGCAAACACAAACTCTGCCAAAATGAGCCCCTTCCCTCTTTAAAATTAGATAATTTTAATATTAGTTATATAAGGCTCTTTGGGGGTTGGCTGCCACAAAATTGTAATCTGTACTGTGCAGAAAAGAAAAGTATACTCACTCCTTATAGATTAAAAAATGAGTGGTGTGGTGACCTAGTGGTGAAGATGCTCACCTCCCACTCGGAAGGTTGAGGGTTCAATCCTAGGTAGTGGCAGATGTCTTTCTCCAGGGGCACAAAGAAAATATCTGCTAAAAATTCCACGTGGCATCAGGAAGGGCATCCGGCCAGTAAACGCTCAACTCCATCCAGTCACCTTGGCTCTATCCCGAATTAAGGGATTAGAGCAGTGGTTCTCAACCTTTTTAATGCCGCGACCCCAACCGGTCGTAAGTCGAGGACTAAACCGGTCGTAAGTCGAGGACTAAACCGGTCATAAGTCGAGGACTAAACCGGTCGTAAGTCGAGGACTACCCAACCGGTCGTAAGTCGAAGACTTTCCCTGCCCGGGAGCGCCGCGCATGTGTGGTTCCGCCCCCTGCGCTGGCCGAGGCGTAGCTGGCAAGCGGCAGAGACGGAGCAGGCCGACCACCAGCTGGCCCAGCCCAAGGGAGGTAAGGCACCGGCCGGAAAAGGGGAAAAAAATGGCGGACAAAAAAATGGCGGACAGCCTTGCTTGGTGACCCCCATGAAATGGTCGATCGACCCCAAATGGGGTCCCGACCCACAGGTTGAGAACCACTGGATTAGAGGGTCATAAAAAAAGGGGGCAATTGAATACGGACATTTGATCAATATTTTGTAGCACCACCTTTATGTTAGAAATGCTACTTTTTAGTTTTAGAATCTCAGGCTGAATTGCTCATAAATATTGAAAATATTTGTGTACATGTATCTAAACAGCTATACTTAAATATTTACTATAGTTTTACTAATTTCATTGGCCCCAGGTATTCTTATTATAAGGTTTATTTACTGTACATTGCATAGTCCGTGTTGAATTATTTTGATTCCTTTTTCTCTACATAATGATCACATTTTTCAAATATGGCATTGTTTTCTCCTTTCTATATTAATATGGATGATGGAAGATACAGGGTTGTCAAACAAGAGGAAGCAGTTCTTTTTGTAATATGTAGTTGAATTATGGATTTAACTTGATCAAAATTAGGATAGCTCCAGCTTAGAAAACAGATTTAAATGAGATAACAGTAAAAGTAAGTATTAGTTATGCTGTCTGAAATCTGTGTTTTCATTCAGGAGAACTATATCTCTGGTTTAATTAAGTAAGAAATAGCAGTCAAATATGGAATGGCTTTATTTAACTACTTAAAATAAATACAGGTAGTCCTCATCTCACGACCATTCATTTAGTGACCATTTGAAATTACAAAGGCACTGAAAAAAGTGATTTATGATTGGTTTTCACACTTAGATTGTTGTAGCATCCCCATGATAATATAATTCAATTGATGGTATTTATGACAGTTACACTGTCCTGGAGTCATGTGATCACTATTTTTAACTTGAGCCAGCTTCCGACAAGTAAAGTCAATGGGGAAGCCAGATTTGCTTAATGACTGCAAAATTCACTTAACTACTGCAGTGATTTGCTTAACAACTGTGGGTGAAAGGTTGTAAAATGGGACACAAGTCACTTAACAACTATCTTACTTAGCAATGGAAACTTTGGGTTTAATTGTGGTTATAAATTGAGAAGTACCTTTAGATACTTCTTTCTCTGAATTCTGCTTTTATTCTTACATATTAAAAGTTTTTAAAAAACCAATGCATTAGACTGTACTATATATGAAACCCTCAGTTTATGAAATAATATTTTGTACTAAATTCTACAGGTCTGTGGGTGACCCTGAAACTTCTTCCAGGAGACATACATCAGATACGAAAAGAATTTCCTCACTTAGTTGATAGAACCACAGCTGTGGCACGGAAAATGGGCTTTCCAGAAATTATTATGCCTGGTAAGGCTATACAATGAAGTTGTATTAAATAGTATTTGGAGAAATTAAAAGTTGTTTGTTGTCAAAAATATGAAGTTTGAAATTATTTCAATTCTATTTGGATGATTTAGCATAAAAAAGATCTAGTTAAGTTCTATCTTTTCTTTGAGGTAAAGGCATAACTCAGTATCTGTATTTGTTTATGAATGTGCTGCATCAATAGGAATCATTTGTCATAGCAGGCCTTCGCTTATTCACAGTGCAGATAATTATTTAGAAGAGTCATGGTGGCATGTGGTTAGAATGCAGTATTGCAGATTAATTCTGCTGACTGGCAGCAGTTCAATCCTGACCAGCTCAAAGTTGACTCAGCCTTCCATCCTTCCGAGGTCGGTAAAGTGAGAACACAGATTGTTGGGGCAATATGCTGACTCTATAAACTGCTTAGAGAGGGCTGTAAATCACTGTGAAGCAGTATATAAGTCTAATTGCTATTGCTATTGTTATTGTATGTGGACTGCAAATTATGACTTATTCTTAAAATGTTTTTTTGTGTTAGATGATAGCCTTGAAAGTTACTCTACATTCAACACTCTAAAACACAAGCTCAGAGAAAGTTAAATAAGTGCTGCTATTCTAGCATGCATTCTCTGTAAATGTAGTATTGAAATTATTATAGCGTAGAGGAAAGTGTAAGAAAAAACAGATAACAAACATAAGCCATCGTAATTCTTAAAATTTGTTTTCTGTTTTTGTAGGATACTGGCTAATCGTAAAATATTAAATCAGTGAATTGTTCTTCTCTTTTGTTTCCAGGTGATGTCCGTAATGATATTTATGTAACATTAGTTCAAGGAGATTTTGACAAAGGCAGCAAAACTACAGCAAAGAATGTAGAAGTTACAGTGTCTGTTTATGATGAAGATGGGAAAAAATTAGAGGTATTTTTGATTGATACCTGATTTTGGATTAGTTCTAAAAGATGTGTGATTGATTGTTCAGATACTTATTAAACCATGGTTAAATATTTTTAAAGCATGAATCTCCCTCCTTTCTCTCTTACACATTTACTGGATAATTTAATGGCACACTTTTCCCATGCTGCCATTTATTTCAAGAATAATAACTTTACAACTTGACTCCAGAATCTTGTGAAATTACATTACATTATTTGATTTCTTACTAGGTGTAATTATAATTGTGTTTATCGTCAGTGGTATTCTCTGTTCTTTGTCAGCATTAAAGATAACTATAGATGACTACAAAGGAGCTTCACAAATCTATTTGATTTTCTCCAAGTGCTGCAGTATTAGAAAACAAGCTCCCTTCATTCTTTTCCTTATTAACAAATTATATGGTAGTTAAAGATGAACAATATTCCTGAGTTCTTAAGAGTATTTTTCAGCATTATGGCCACAATCAAATCATTGTTACTGTATTTATGACATTTGGCGGGGTCAAAAAAAATCTGAGTATCAGTTCCGCTGAAAGCATTTGAATGTGTAAGAAAGCATTTCATGTAGTCCTCGATTACAACCACAACCGACACCAGAATTTCCATTGCTAAATAAAGGGGTTGTTAAGTGAGTCATGCCTGATTTTACGATTTTCTGAACACAGTTGTTAAGCAAATCACTGCAATTGTTAAGTGAATCTTGTGATTGTTAAGTGAGTCTGGCTTCACTCATTGACTGCTTATCAGAAGCCAGCTGGGGAAGGTGACAAATGCAGATCACATGACCCCAGGACACTGCAACTGTCGTCAATACATGCCGGTTGCTCAGTGGAAGGACCAGCTGTAGGTCACTTTTTTTCAGTCCCGTTGTAACTTTGAACGGTTGCTAAAGAAATGGTTGTACATCAAGAACGACCTGTATAAATATGCATATTGTTGTTACATATTTTTAAGATTTCGCTTCCCTATATTACAAAAATGTTTTCTATGTGCTATTTCTATGCTACTATATCTGAATGTAAAAGCTATTTTTTATTTTGATTGTCTCTTAAATATAATAATATTTTCTTAAACCCTCAACTGCAACACTGATTTCTGCTTTGTTTCCTTGTTTTCAGAATGTGATATTTCCTGGGGCCGGAGATGAAGCTCTTTCAGAATATAAATCTGTTATATATTACCAAGTAAAGCAACCCCGTTGGTTTGAAACTATAAAGGTATGCTTGGCATTAAACTTTATTTTTAAAAGAAATGTATAAGAGAGAGATAGAACCTCTTGGTATCCATGCCAGAATAATCTTTCTGTGTTGCTAAGGACTAGTATAGATGAAGTCCTTGACTGATACACATTCTCTCTGTCTCTTTCTCTGTATATCTTCCAGTCAAGGCAGCTTGGATATCTTTGTTCCAATATCTGCCTCTTACTTTTCTTGTATTTGATAGCAGAACTATTGTTCTGCTTTGTCCTTGTTTCCTAAACATGTTTTTTCCCTTAACAACAACAACCCTTTCTGGTAGATCGGGCTGAGAGAAGTGACTGGCCAAAAGTCACCTGTGAGCTTGCCTGGTTGAGGTGGAACCTGCTTTTCCCCGGTATCCGTCTAGCCTTAATGATTGTGCCAGACTGTCAATAATGAAAATAGAATAAATATGTGGTTACCCATGAATTTATCCTAAGAAAATCAGATTATTTGTTATCCATCTGATTTTAGTATCAATTTGGTAGGGGGGGTCAGATAGGATTCTGTTGTATCACTTGTTAACAATTGTTTTAGCCAAAGGTGCCAGGGATTAAACTTTCTGTATGTAAAGCATGTGGCCTGTCTCTAATTAATATCTTTCCTGAGTTTTAACAGTAATAAAAAGGCTACTTAGAGAAGATTATCTGGCATAGTGTTTCATTAACATGAATTTTAGTTTACTAAGCTGTATTAAATAATATTTAATGCCAATCTTCGATAATATGCCAGTAACGTCAATATTTCCATTCTTCTCATATTGCTTTCACCTTGTAAGGAGTGGGATACGCTTATATTCAGCAAAGTTGGGACAGAGTTCTTCACATTTTCAAAGAAAATCAGATAGCTTTGTTTTGAGAAGAAAGCAGATATGAAGTAGGATTTTTTTTTCCAAATTGGAAATAAATAAGAAATAAAAAAAATCAGTCCTTGTAAGTTCTTGACTTACAACCACAATTGAACCCAAAATTTGTTGTTAAGTGAGACATTTGATAATTGAGTTTTGCCCCATTTTACAACCTTTCTTGCCACAGTTGTTAAGTGAATCACTGCAGATGTTAAGTTAATAACATAGTTGTTAAGTGAATCTAGCTTTCCCATTGACTTTGCTTGTCAGAAGGTTGCAAAAGGTCATCACATGACCCCATGGCACTGGAACCATCATAAATATGAGTCAGCTGCCTAGGATCTAAATTTTAATTTCATGACCATGGGGATGCTGCAACGGTCATAATGGTCATAAGTCACTTTTTTCAGTGCTGTTGTAACTTTGAATGGTCATTAAATGAATTGTTGTAAGTCAAATACTATCTGTATTTTAGCCACAGAATTTCCATATTCATTACAGATAGTCCTCAACTTACAACAGCTCGTTTAATAACCGTTCAAAGTTACAACGGCCCTGAAAAAAGCAACTTATGACCATTTTCACACTTATGACTGTTGTGGCATTCCCATGGTCATGTGATCAAAATTCAGACTCTTGGCAATTGACTCATATTTATGACAGTTGACGTGCTCTGGGGTCATGTGATCACCTTTTGCGACCTTCTGACCAGCAAAGTCAACAGGGAAGCCAGATTCACTTAATAACCACGTTACTAATTTAACCACTGCAATGATTCACTTAACAACTGTGGAAGGAAAAGTCGCAAAATGGGGCAAAACTTACTAAACAAGTGTCTCACTTAGCAACATAAATTTTGGGCTCAATTGTGGTTGTAAGTCAAGGACTAGCTGTGTAGCTTTGTGGTATCATCTAATGGATCGTTTTTAAATGATCAGTGACCTATTGCAACCTGACTGAGAAAGACAAATATTTGCCATTTTTGGACTGTCACTGTGACCAGTATGCAAGACACTTTGATCACATCCATCACAACTTAGCTTTCAGAATGAGTTCAATACATGTAGTGTAGATGTGCAGAGCATTGTCTGATTCAATTATGTTGGATGAGTTTCAGTTGCTGAAATCAAAGTATGTTGAAAAGATGCTTAGTCAGGCTTGGCCAAACATTTTCATCTTTGACTCTTGACATTTTTAGTTTGCTATATTTAATGCAGAGAAACCTAATCTGAACCTAAAGAAAAAACAACTGTTGCTGCTCTTGTCGCTCACAAGTCCAGAAATATTTGGATACAACTGATTGTTTTGAACCATTCAGCCCAGTTGCAAGTTTGATTTTGAAAGTGAAATTGCTCTGGTTTTTCTGGCGTGATAATCTGCTCTAAGGGAAGATGCAATCATTTTGAGTCTCTTAGACTTTTTCCCCATCCCCAAGGCTAAGAACAGCATTCACTTATAACTATATTGCATGCATCTGATAGGGTGGGCTGAGATCCACAAACCTTATGAGACAACTCTTTTGCTAGTCTTTTAGGATGCCATAAGATTATTAATTTTAGATCTCTCAGGAGCTTTCAGCACCTTCCACTATAGTGTCCTTTCCTACATAGGCTGTTTTAGTTGCAATGTGAAGGCACTATACCACACTGATTTCTTCTCCACCATGGTTGGCTATTTTAGAAAGTGATACTTGGAGATTATTATCTTGCTCTGTGGTAATTATGGGAGGGGATTCCAAATATGAAATATCTGTGATTTTTTTTTTAATCTAGAGGAAGCCACTAGAAAGATTATCAATGGATTTGGGATGAAGTATCACCAAAACTCACAAGATTTCCATCTTTACCTTTCTTTTAACCTTTCTTCTTACCTGACACAGCAAGGCAGCCAACTACCTTAAGCACTGCCTTTTTGGGGTAGGGGAATACATGTGGATTAATAAAATGAGATTGATTCCAGATATGTCTATGTTTACCTCTCCAGTTACGTGGTGATTGTTTCATTTCACAACAGTTTGCTCTTTTCCCAAAAGCGTTTGTTGAATAGCTTGGAATATACTTGTTTTCAACAAAGTCAGGGAAAGCTGTGCTTGGCAACACTTACTTAGATCTGGTATCTTCCTCCTTGGACTATTGCAGGGAGGAAGGGATGCCTTTGAAATTGATTCAAAAACTTCAGATAGATCAGAATAGAGTGGTTAGGCTACTGACAGAGAATGGCTGATATGAGCATATTATGTCAGTGTTTTGCTATGTTTTTTGACTGTGAGTCAGCTTCTAGATGTAATTTGGAGAGAATAGTGCTTAAGGCCAGACTGTCTGAAAGAGGTATCACCTACCATGTTTACTATTGGGATGATAGAATTTGCACTTGAAGTGCTTCTCTAGCTATTTCTGCTGAATGAGAAATAATGAGTAGCTTTCAGAAAAAGGCCTTTTCTAACAGGTCCAAGCTATGCGGTACTTTTCCTATAGGGGGAAGACCGTTGTGGTATTTTCTGCATCATAATAAAGATTTTTTTTATTTTGCCAAATAGAGGAATTACTTTGATGATCTACAGTGTAGGTATTTTGTAAATACTATTACTACTGCTACATCTATGCAGTTGCTATTTCCTAGGCAAGGTTTAATATAATGTATTGCTAAAAGCAATATAATGATTTTATACTGGCTTACCTTTCAATAAGACATAATGGGTTGTATAGAGAATTTCTGTTAGGTAATATAATATGCTTAATTGTTAAAATATCAAGAATAACATGGCAGCAGTAGTTCTCTGTTGTGAAATTTTTGGGAGATTAATATGATATGAAGTGACCAAGAGAGTTAAAAGTTGACAGAACATTTGAAAGACTGAACAATGACAGAAAAAACAAAATTGGGAGATCTGATGTTTCTTGATAGCAATGAATTAAACATCTGGATCATAAATGAAAGCATGCTTTAACAAAATAAACATGATGCAGTTAACATCATTCTTTGTAAGAAAGATGAGCAATCTTCCACTGTCTGGGAAAAACACAGAACACCAGAATCTCTCTGCCTTTTAGCTGTTAATAGTATCATTTCACTTTCCTCTGTCACTAGTGATTCAGATACAGAAGGATATTTATTTCATATTTCTGAATTGCAATTTTAGGTATGACTAATTATTGGGCCATAGTAACACAGGAAGGTTGAGCCAAAAATATTTTATCATATGCTGTATAGAAAAGATATCCAGAGGTTCAGTTCATGGGTAAACTATTAACTCTCAGACTTCTCTTATTAAAGTCTGGATTAGGAATAGTTAATCTAAGGAACAAGAACAGAAATGCTTCATTAAGAGTATTATTAAAAGAAAAATACTTAAGGTTACATATATAGAGACATATTTTAGGTGGTAAAACTGTTTCAATGTACGGGGTCTAGAAGCTTGTCTTTCTTTCTGAAGCAGGGGTCCCTGCTTTGATCATTATAATTCCTTTCAGTGTGCAAAATCTCACATGAGTTCAGTAAAGGTCTAGTGAATGACATACTGACACAGTGAATTACTCATCTGAGGAGTTCTTGACAGCTTAATTCTAGCCTAAATGAAAAGTCAGTCTGGGTTGCAGAACAAAAAATATTTAATGTTTTATTCTGGTTTTTGAAAAAAGTATTGATTCTGTTTTGAGTATTTAGTTGTTAAAACCTCTGGAGAAATAAGTTTTCTTATCAAAGAAGTGTTCCTACTCTTCCAACTAGTCCTATGGTTTCAAATGCTTCACTAAATGTTGTTTAAAACAACATACTTTTGAAAATGTGATTTTGCTGTTGTCATATCACTTTATGACTTCAAATCTGGAGAAAGGAGAAATGGGCTACTGTTAATCAGGAAGGGAAGTTCCCGTGACAATATTCATTTGCTGGTCCTTTTAAGCAATTAGCTTAAATACTATTAAACACTGTGAGTGTTGAATTGACTGTTACTTTTCTGGATTAGGTAAAAGGTTTTTAGGGTAGTATACTTGTATGTGTGTTTTGTGTATAATAGCTTGTGTATTTGTGTGTGTGTGTACAAACACAGACACAATAGCTGTGTATTTTATATATTGATTGATCAAATTTAGACACTGCCCATCTCACTCTCAGAACAACTCTGGGTGATATACAATTAAAAATAATAACATATAAAATATTATATCTCAAAATGTTATATTCCCATAACTTTATCTTTTGTTTTGTGAAGGTTGCAATCCCCATTGAAGATGTAAACCGCAGTCACCTAAGGTTTACGTTCCGGCACAGATCATCACAGGATTGTGAGTAATTCACACCACACCCACTGTTATCTTTTTTTAAAGCTAGCGTCTACTTTAAAGAAGAGATTTCTTTCTAATTTGAAGCCCTGTTCTTTTGGCCTCTTGTCTTGATGCCTTTTCCTATAGTTTCTTCTTCTTTACACTTCTTTAAGTAAAACCAATTAATAATATTGGGTATGTGCTTCCTAGAAGCTGGCATTTGGATATTTAGGACGTTTTTATAGAGAAAATAAACTAACTTGCTTGTATTTTTAATGGGTTGCTGTGATTTTCATTAGTCATGAAGTCTATGAGAAAGCTTGTTAGCATTTTACTTACAAGCCAAGTATTGACTTCACTTGTTAATGTTTCTGTTTAAAGTTGTTACATTTCAGTAAGATAAACTGGTATTTAGCTTGTTTCATGTCTTTTATTAATAGAATATGGCTGATTTAACTAATGTTACTGAATCCGCTAAAAACCTAGCTTGAATTTTAATTGTAATATTGGCAGAAAAATCAAAGTTTTAATCATTAATCTTCAGTGTTTATATTTAGAACTTGTAACGTTTGACATTTTCATAATGGTTAGTGCTTATGTAATTAAAGGGTTACTGTTTTGTTGTAAAATTAATCATTGAATGAAAGCAATAATTTTAACAGAATATGTAACACTTTCACTAATGAAAATGACGTAGTAATTTACTGATATATTTATGGCCATTAACTACAAATTATTTCAGTAAGAAGCATTTGTATTAAGTTGCAGCAGATAGTGGGTGGCCAGAGTGATTAGACTTTAGATTATTATAATCGTCATGCTATAGGGTTAGAACTACTACAGTGCTTTCTCATACATCTTTTTAGTTGCCGCTAGGTTGATCAAGGTTGCCCCTCAAATTCTTCTTCTCATTTTTGTTTGCACTGCAATTTGTCTGCCTTCTGGAAAAAGCTGAAGAACTTTCCTGGATTTTTTTTTTCCGGCCTGGCACCATGGATTTTAATTGTTTTATGTTTTTATTTTGTTATTGTATAGTTTTATTTAATGAACCATTGAGAGTCCTGCCGTTGTGGTGGGATGTTAGTTTTTTGAATTAATAAGGTGTGAATCTTGCTTTACATAAATGTTAAAATATTCTGGTAATGGAAATCAAACTTCATAGCAGAAGTTGATCTTTTGTTCTGCTAAAGTAAAGTTTCAAGTCCTATTCAATGTACAGGTGATACTGATTCCATAGACATATACCATGGTTGAAGGTTAGAAGATGGGAAGAAAGGAGGTTGGGAATAGAAAAATTCTTTATGAAAACAATATACATAGTCCTTGCTTAACAACCACTTGTTCATTGCTGAATTATGATTATGACATTGCTGAATGAATGGCACTTACATTCGCTTCGTAAACTTACAGCCATTGCAGTATCCTGGCGGTCAGATGATCAAAATTCCGGCATTGGGCAACCTATCCACATTTATGATTGCAGGGTGCACTTCAATTCCCCCATGTATCTCCCCCATCTCTGCCCTTTTGGCTGTCAGGTACTCTTATGCCTTGCGCTCTACCACCTTTGTCATCATGTGCTATGCTGTCTGCTTTGCACCTGCGTCGCAAAGGACCAGGCTGGGTGTGCCTCATCAGGTGGGAGGAAGAAGAGGACGAGGGTCATTTCGGGCACAGGGCTCTGTGCACGTGCTCCTACCCTGGCAGCAGCCACCCTTGATCCAAATGTGCCTGCAAGGTGCCACAGAAGTTGCTTGTGCACCCTCCCGCCCTGGCAGCAGCCCTTCCCAGCCCAGCTGTGCTATTGCTATGTGGTTGCTGTCACGTGGCCATCTAGCAGGCTTCTTGTGAGCTGCCTAGTAGTTGTGACTTCCTTTTGGTTTCCCTATTTACTTTGCTTGTAGGAAGCTGACAGGAAATTGGGAAGAGGTTCTTGCTCAATGACTGGCTTAATGGCTCCCTTAACAATGGTAATGGAGACTTTTCAAAATTGTAATCACTAAGCAATGCAGTCATGTGATGTCATACTCTATGACTACATAGCCTAGTAATGGAAATTCCAGCCCTAATTGTCATTGATAACTGAGGATTTACCTGAATGCATATAACTGCAGTAGACAAGCTTAACAAAAAAAAAGAGTAGCTTTCGGTCCTTTAGGGAGAAAGAAACTTGGGGTTTAATCCTACACTTTGTGTGTGTGTGTGTGTATGTGTGTGTGTGTGTGTGTGCACGTGCATAAACAGTGTATGATTTCCTGTGAGTATGCTGTGTTCTAGAGAGAATTATTGAAAGCCTCTGAAGGCTATCTTGACAACACAGAAGAGATTTGGAAATAATGGAGTGGAGAAGCAACTGCAGAATGATGTAGACTTCTGTAAAATGACTGGGGCGCTCATGATCTGCATGTGAATAGTAACATCTTGCTGTTTATTATCATTATTACTTGCTTGTGAGAGGGCAGCTTTATAAATTTTATTTATTTATTGATAAATAAATAACATGTAATTTATTACCATAAAATTCTGTTCATTTTAATATGAACATGAATAGTTCCTTAAGATAAAGAATCACTATTTTGAAACTATTATTTCTGGTTGAATTATCAGAAATACAGGATGTCAACTTATTCCTTTTTTCTTTTTATAATATTTTATTAATTTTCTATTTTTACAGATCGTAAGTGCTTAGTAAATAGTATGTTGTCTGAGTCCATTTTTTACTTAATAATACATATTAAATTCCTAATCTCTACCCCTTTTTTCCAGCCAATGATAAACTACATCTCATATTTGAAATTATTCTATGTCTTCTTTTTCTTTATCCTTCAATATCGATCTGTTCATTTCTACACAGTCTGGTGTTTTCTTGATCATCTCTTCTTCAGGTAGTGTTTTTTCATTTTTCCAGCAGTAAGCAAATACAATTCTTACTACTATCAATACATGCAACATTAAGTGCATTCTTCCTCATCATATTTTTCTAATATTATACCTAATAAAAATATTTCCAGTTTATAACATCTTTTCTAGCCAACTCATATCTCAATTGTATATGTAATTGAGGCCACCTTATTAAATCAATACCCTGTTCTTCCAACTCTTATATCAATTTTGATTTCCTTTTGGTATTCAAAATATCTTTGTAGGTTACAATTTTCTCAACATTGATTAAGTTTAGGTGGGCAAAAGCTTCCCTTGTTAAAAGCCATCCTGATAGTTTCATATTTCCCATACCATAAAAAAGTGTATCCTAATTGTAAATCATATCCTTCTAAGTATAATGATCTTTTTGTGTCTAAGGGTTATCTATTTCTTTTAACCGTGTTCAAACACCTATTTGGTAGTATAGGGCCCCCTCCGGTAGGCCAAGTCCTCTATTTTCTTTAATCTTAGCTTTCTTCCTTTGCCAGAAAAAATTTACAAA